ACAGACCGCCTCATCCCATTCACCCACTGGATCACCCCACCCAATGTACCGAAACGGTTCACCACGCAGATGTACGTCTACTTTGTCGACCCGGCGGAGAAGGGCAATCCGAGCGTGCACGCAACAGCAGATCAGATCGAGACCATGACGCCGGAATGGAGATCCGCAAGAGATTGGCTGAGCTTGGCGAGGAGCGGGGACATCATCCTGTTCCCGCCGCAATTTCTGCTCCTCTACCTGGTCTCGGAGATACTTGACGGCCCTGGTGACAGCGAGGAAGACATCCTGAGGAAGCGAGCCATACTAAAGAGGCGGATCGAGACCGAAGGGACCCCGGTGCCGTGGAAGGATAAGTTCATTTCCCCCATCGGCATGAGCTTCGGCGAGGATGGCCGAAGCGTGCTTGCCCTGGATAAACCTGGTCCTGAGTTGAAGGCTTCGACTCTGAAGGGAGATGACGAGTATGTTGTGCTGGTCAAATTCAACAGAGAAGGGCCAAGAGACGTAGAGATTGGTTTGAGAAAGGAGGTCCTGCGGGAAAGAAGGGAAAGGGGAATAGACAAGCCGAGTAAGATATAGAAAGCCCTATATGCATATATTATCGCGGTTTGAATTCATGGGTTTATTGTCATGACCGAAAACCTCCAGCGCCTCGCTAAGTATTCAATGGGCGACGATCCACCCTGGCTCAACATGTCATCCTGTGATCTGACCGCCATCTTTCCTCTCTAAAACCACGACAGAGTCCACAACGCTGGTAGATTGGGCCACCGTTCCTGCCACCTAGCAAGAATCTCAGGAACTTTCTCGTCAAAGCTCATCCTGGCCGCGCCAGTTCCGTTCTCCCACCCTTGGCTGCCACTTATTTGCCTTTCCTGAATGGCCGCCTCATTCAAGCTATCGGCTAATTCAAGAATCGCTCCTCCACCAACCAGCGCTTCTTCATGATTATCCTTAATATCGATGTTGAAGACGTGAACAGGCCTATTCAAAGGCGCTCCGCGGTCGAGTAAATTGTCCACGACGGCGTCCCAGCACCGTTCCTCGCAGGTGAAAATCACGTCCACAACGCCTCCTTCCGTTCCTGCAGCGCCTTTATCGCCGCGATTCAAGGCCTCCATCCTGGCTGCGCCAACAATCCAGTCATGAAACCGTTCTGGTCCCCATTTGATCTTCCTATTCCGATCAAGCATGTTTAATATGCCATTATTCCGATACAGTCGGGCGTCTTGCGCGTTCAGTTCGTCGTACATCTTCGTATAGGACGTAGTGTTGAAGTTGTAGACTTGAGGTTGTGAGATGGAGGGACCTGGTAAGCGGACGTAGCTACCCGTACCAAAGGAGATGACGGGGTATTGGTGCTCCGAGGTAGAGAGACGAAGATGGGCTTCCATGGAGCGATTGTTGTTGGAGGCACAAACTGTACAAAACTTGAGCTTAAAGGGGACTTCATTCTGTGAAGAACTGGTTACAGCAGGAGATGTCGGTGTGGCGGGTGCGAGGGTCGTCGACGTCGCAGTGGCGGGCGGAGTGGATGGATCGATGGTACCGTCGAGGCCCGTAGAGGACGTGACTTGCAAATGACTCTGTCCTGTAGGAGCAGTCACGGTAGAGGGGGGAGTTTGCGCGGACGACGATGGGGGTTGTGGTGTTGGTTGAGCAGGTTGCGGCGTCTGTGTTCGCGCCTGAAGGCGAGCACGTCGAGGATCTGCGGACATGATGCGAGAGGGACAGGATGTGCGTTATTGCTCTACAGCAAACATGGTATAACTACCGGCGTCTAGGTCAGTGGATTCTCTGGATATGTGGAGAGAGACAAGTAGTTTAAGCAAGCCACAAAGCGGCGAAGTCAGAGGTTTGAAATTGCGTATTATTCGTGGATGTCCGCAGAAGAGAATAGGACAGCTCCAATAAGATAGTCATCACAAGATGCGTAGAGGGAGAGGAAGGGTATGCTGGTGTCTTAGAACTGACCTTGGTATGCGGCTTGAATAAAACCTGGTGATAGAACAGGACAGGCTAACTTGCGAGCTCCTTTGTGGACGAATATTTGGTACAAGGTACTTTGGACCTCTTGGTGGTTAACGCCCAGGCTGTCGAGACTCGAGATCGATCAGAGAGCGCGGGCAGAAAATTCCCGGTTCTGGGTCAAAATGCGGCTAAACTTCTCCATACTGATAGAAGCGAGGACTGGGAGCACGAAGCCTAGCGGGACCTGGGCGGCATCTGAAACGCCTAGCGGACGGCTGTGGGGAGCCTGTAGTGCCTGTGGCCGCCTCTGGTTGGAGGTTGCCTGTGCTCTCTTACCCCCCGTTTAGGTGCCAGTCCAGTTGGAGGCAGAGCCAGGGCTTACATATGGCCCAGTCACAGCAGTTACAGCAGTATTAGCCACTCAAGGCCGGTTCCCTCTCTTCTCAAGATCCAGGTCCATTCTCAAGGCGAACCCAATTCCTCGATCTCGACAACCTTGCATATTTACTCTCAAGTCGGTCCCTTTACCAGGCTTTGGCCTGATCATCCTGCTTTACCTGACTCCAGCGCAATTCTGGTCATACTCGTCGTCAACACCACCACCTCGATGCACACATCGCCTGACCTTCTTGCTCTTCTAATCCCTGGGCATACTTTGGACTTTTGCCTGCGTTTCGGCCCATCACGTCTCTCTCTGATCGCTATATTTAGATCTGGCTCTCGCCGTTCTCGCCTAGCCTGATTCTCGACAACTGGACTCGACGTTCTCACACAGCTCGTTATTCTAATTAGGACCCTTCAGCTGCTCGTAGCTGGCTGCTGGGGACGCCCTTCTGATTTTCCATTCTTTTCCTTCGTCTTCGACATTTTCCCTCCTTGTTAAGCGCGCGCGCTGCGCCGTTCCTTCGATTCTCCAGATTCACCGCCGCCATTGGCACTGGGGACGCCTTATTAGCCGCCCAACGCACGCTCTTCGCTGGCTCGTTCTCGTGCCTATAGGTGCGCTTCGGCGAAGGATAACAATTCAATCGTTCTTCGTTTGCGACACCTGTGCCTCCCTGGCTATCTAAACATCTCGCGACCGAACCCATCCTTCTTGTACGGTCAGGATGGCCACCATCACAGCCTCACCACCTGCGATGTCTCCTCCGTTGGCCGCAGCCACCACCTCTCCTCCCAGTCTGCCTCCTTTAATCACTACCACCCCGAATACGCGGCGGACGAGCTCGCAAAGGCCAACCTCATATGCTGAAAGACGGATGTCGACTTATTCCACAACTTCAAAAGGTTCCTACCTTCCGCAGTCTCGACCGACGTCCTATGTCTTTCCCGCCTTCCACTCGAGTCTACCATATACCCTCGTCCGAGATTTTGCATATTTGACAACGCACCCTTTACACTACGGCCCCCCTCCGCATCAATCGGGTCTCTCTACACCAGCGAGTGAGTCAAGAAGACTTTCCGACCCAGCGATCTCATCATGGGACGACTCCAGAGGTCAATGGTCTGCGACGCCGCCTTGGATAGCAGAAACAAACCCCAGCGCTTTTAGTCGGGATCGGCTACCTGCAATGACATTCAAAGATGATGGGCCGCCCTACAGCGAAGATGAGGATATCCAATCCCCCATTGTCACCACGAGCAGGCACAAGAAACATAAATCCAATGAGCGAGGGAGGTCGCCCGGAGCGGCAGGTCCCCATCGCGGCGTTGTGGTTGGCGCAGCCGGTCATCCTGAGGAAGCAGACGGGCCCGGTGAAGCTGTCGAAACATACGATACCAACAGCCTGAGGTTCCTGCACGAGCCTCAACACCGCGACTCCAACTTTGCCAAACCTCTTCAACGCAATCTTTCCCCTTATGGCGACGAAGGTCCCGGCTCTGAAGACGAATACTCAGACGCCGAAGACGATACGCGGTTCTCAAAAGACTATTCGTTTACGATTGCCAGTCCCGACGAGGAAATGCACGGCAAGGCTGTCGCACTCTTCGACTTCGAAAGCGAGCATCAAAATGAATTGCCCTTGAAGGAAGGGCAGATAATTCTAGTGTCATATCGACATGGCCAAGGTTGGTTGGTGGCCGAAGATCCCAGGACCGGCGAGAGTGGACTAGTGCCCGAAGAGTTTGTACGCCTGGTTAGGGACATCGAAGGCGGCTTACGCGGGTTAAATGCTGTGACTTTGGATGGTGACGGGAACATGGACAGTATCATCAGTCCTGTATCAACGGATCCTGGGTCGATCAATACGCCGGTACCGAACAACCATGATTTTCCTCCTTCGCAGCAACAAGGTTCATACAAGTCCAGCAGCAATGGTGGCACCTATGGCGAGAAGCATCCTCCAGTGCAGTCGACTTTTAGCACTAGCAGTCGCGATTTCAGCCCATATCCCTTACCCTCGAAGGGCGACGAAAACTCTGTAAAGGAGAGGGAGAAAGAACGAGAAAAGGCGACCGACATAAGCTAGTACCCTGTTCCGGTTGCTCCCTTCTAACGATCTTCCAACTCAATGGAGAGGCAGATAGTTACGGGGCGGCGGAAAGAACACGGTTAAGACCAGGAATCAACGACACGCGTTAGACTGGGCCTGCGCTGCATGGGTGATGGCATGATAAATTTTTATTCTCTAATGTGTTGTATGATATGATATCCCATGGATTATGCCACAAGGCAAACTCTCGACGGCCGCAAACGGGCAGTGGGCGGGTAGGAAAGGGCCACACAATATGGGCTTTTGGGACGGACAACGGATGAGGACATGGTACACATGAATCTGCGAAGCGTACCAACGCGCAAGAAGAGATGTTTCTTCTTTCCAGCGCATGGAGACGAAGCTGCCCGGAGGGAGCTGACTCTGATCTCTACATCTCCTCTGATATTGCAAATGAGACCATCTCAAGGGGGTATAGATGCTGACACCAAGAAAATAGAGGAAGAAGAAACAGAGAAACTTCCAAACGTGCAAGTCAAGCTAGTTTGAACAATGATGTAGGCCGAGTCGTGCTTTACCTTAGTCCTTTTCTCTCTAGACAATGGGAACGTCTGTTCGGCCACGCAAAGCCCTGTTGAGGCTGTGGTCTTGATCGTCGTCCCAATGCAAAGGCCCTTGGATGTCCGCGAGAGCCGCGAGAGGGTAGAGTGCATTCACGCCTTCAACCGACTCCAGTTCTATCAGGAATGCACAACCACGCCGTTCGTCGGTAACCCAGGATGGCCGAATCGTGAGAGCCCCTCCCAGGTCACCGTCCGCCAGATAGAGTGAGAGATAGCAGTCAAGGACATTGCTTCTCTGCGGGAAGAGTCGTGGCAACCAGGACCTCGTTCCGCTCTCACCGATCTTAGATCTAAGAGTGGTTTCTGTGGCGGGTGCTCCGTCTCCCAACCCGGCTATTTTGCGGACTCACCGCGTATTCCTTGTATCCATCGTCCCAGTCCTCGATTCGTCTGCGAGAACCATCACTCCCGGACGATCCTGTGACTCTACGGCTGGCTCGCCGACTCAGCTTTCCCTGGTCCTTCTCGTACCTCAATCTCTCCACCTCCCTCCTCGAGGCACCCCCGTTGTTGACCCGGTCGCTCCAGATCAAATGCCTCGGCTTGCCCGGGTAGATGCCCCTGCGGACTTTTCTCTTGCGGTTGAAGTAGGTGAGCGAGATGTAGAAGCCGTGGATGTGTGAGGGGATGATGGCCAGGATGAACATGACGCAGTTGAAGAGGAAGTCTTCGTTCGGCCCCGTGATGAGCATCACGGCCAGCGGCGGGAAGAGGATGTTCAAGGCCGTGATGACCAGGCGTTTGAAGAGTGGGATTCTCATTGTCACAGTGAGATCACGTCCCGGATGGATCTCTGGGTGGTCTGGGTGACCAAGTCCCTCGCGTGCAGCTTCTGTGCAATGGAACGAATAATGCCAGCGTGTGGGTTTGATTCCTTCCCGCAAGGAAATAAAGACAAACAGAGGTAGTCGATATCAAACAAACAAATGTGATGTCGAAGCAGTTTCAAGTGTCTATCCTTCTTCTCATACTGTGAGCCCAAAGAGTAAAAGTTAGAGAGAGCGCAGATTTCAAGAATGTTTTGCACCATTTGTGGGAGCTGCAGCAGCCATCGTCATCATATACTCCCCCCTGCTCACTTTTCGCTTCTCACCTCTCCCCTTCTCAACCCGTGGGCGGCGCGGTGCTGAGCTGTGCGCCCATCCAACGCCTCTAACGCTCTAACGCAGGGACCTCTGCAGGTAGGCAGGTTCTTTGCCCAGCCGGGAAATCCATCGTCGAGCAAAGTCCACCCGAGACAAGAAAAAGCATGGCACAGAACAAGTCTCCGAAGCGTTGATCGGGGAGATCGTCGACGTCTGGGAATCGAACAAGACGTCATTTTCCTATCGGTGGTGGCTGTGGCTGGGCCGTCGCCAATCGGGCCGGGCCAACACCACGTTTTCTCAACGGGGAGAGTGGCGTCCGTCTCATCACAGTCAGGGTCTTGGTATACGGCTCGACGGGTCCAAGTAAAGTATGTACGGGGTATGCGATTGAAGGACGTAGAACATTGCTACTCACGCTCTAATAGCTAGTAGCTGATAGTTAATGAGAGCAAACAAAGGGAGACGATAGCGAGGCGATGCTCACCGTCCAGCTACCTGTACCTCGTACATGTGTAGGTCTAATCCTTGGGGAAATATAATGCATCAAGGGTTCTTGTTGTACTATTTGCAGTGTTTGTTCAACTTCTCTTCTAGTAATATCTTACATGTGATCCAGTCTAAATATCCGTGTTCACAGAGAAGTTCAACACTGCCTTTTTGGCAGCGCAAATGAATATACATAGTGTTTGACACATGCCCCTGAGACGCTATCGACTTCCACTCACAAGCAGAATGGCACTTCCTAGCTGGCGTCTGATATCCTCGTTATCCACGTCGTGGGTATCTTCGACCTCCCCCCACATCCTGGTCTGCCATCTTACCTCGAGGCTTGAGGCCTCGGCAGCCTCCTCGATGCCAAACCGCTTCTGACTCCCACTCTCTTGCATATCCCGGAATTCCTCACTCCACTCAATTAACAGTCTTGTACCGACAAGTAGACTCTTCGTAGCCAATACTGCACGCTCGAGGGCTGCAAGCTCATATGCAGGAAGGCCAGCAATCCACCCACGGATCACGCTTCTCGTCGTTTCATCCTGCTGCGTAGGCATGATGCTGTTTTCGTCCAGAACCGGTTTGATGTCAACACCAGGCCACACTGATGTACTTAGATAACTAATGATGGGTGTGGCTGTCCGAATCTGAATCTCACGTAGTGATTCTGTCCGTTCGGTTTGCATTTCCAACTGCGATGCCGAAGTGTTCGCTGGTGCCCAACACAGTAACGTGTCCGTGTCTAGGTAACGCATCATGATTGTAATGATGTCTTTTCGGATCTTGCCATCACCCCGCGTCTCTGTCTCGATGATGTCCTGCGCCCGTGCCGATATTGAGGTCATAGGGATGTTGTGGTTTTTCAACGCTTGCTGCGCGGATTCGAGCAGATCCCATTCAATAGCGATAGCATGGGCCAGGTGCGGCTTGGAGCGCGGGATCGTGAGGATTGATTTGCTGGGAGTCCGCACGGGTCTCTGGTCCAAATACACTTGATACCCTTGTGGGACTTCTCTGACATGAACATCTTTCCAAAACCTTTTCCTCAATGGGCTTGTCTTCCCACCCGGCTGACTCGCGGCACGAAGTTCTTTTCCTTGCTTGAGCAGCTCTGCTTTCCGTCTTCGTTCTTGGATCCGGTCGCCATATTGGGGAGACGTAGGAACGGGAGCACTGGGGGGTGGTCCGGTTGCAGTGATCGGGAGTGCAGTGGCGGATAATGAGCTGGTTGAGGAGATCGCGCGGATTGTTGGCGTCGCAAGCCGACCGACCGAAGGATGGGTTTTCAAGCCGCGGACGACAGATGAAGACACTCTTAGCATATCTGCCCTCATGTTACCCTTGTGAGACGGGATAGAGAGCCGAATCGAGAGCTGGAAATCAACAACGTCTCGGAGTTTAAGATGCCAAGACGAAGGGAATTCGATACCTAGCTCGCCCCTCTTTCGGACGAGGATGATGCCGCCCTATGCTCACCCCCAGCTCCCCGCGCACCGCTTAGTTGGAGACCATGGGCCGTTCAGAGGTTTGTATCATGCTTCCTACTATTTTTTCTGCACTAGGAGGTCAGAGGAAGTCCGAGTGACTGCGTTGGACACCAGAGCAACGACTACCACACCACTATGTGATACCCAGATATAACCGCCGGCGCCGCGACCTAAATGCTTTGAATCTGTTCTTGAATTCTCCTTCCGCAACAACAACAATAACACCACTCTTGAACCATCTCTACTACACTTTCTCCCCTCCAAGTTCTCAAAGCCTAGAAGATCTCGCCGCCTCCAGGGCTTTTGTCTGTGCACGGTAGTTCTTGAGCAGCTGTCGGACGGCCAAGTCAAACATGACATCCTCAGAGCCCCCTGGTATCCGGGCGGTTGGGATTTCGCGGTAGATTTTCTCGACCAGTTCGCCTTGACCTGTCCTCGTGAAGCCATTCCCTCCAAAGAGAAGTACTGCGCAGCGTGAACATTCATCCAGCACCAAGCCCGCCTTGGCTTTGGCGAGGGCAATCAAGCCGCCCAGTTGGGTATCCGCGTCTTCCTTCTTCATCTTCGACAGTGAATACACGAATTGCTCGACCCAGGCAGACAGAGACTCGAGCTCCGCCCCGCATCTGGCTAGTCGATTTCGAACCACGGGCTGCTCAATGAGCGGCTTTCCGAAAGCCTCGCGCTTCATCACATATTCGAAGGCGGCGGATAGGGCGACGCGAGAGATACGAGTGATACCGACAACGATTGCCAGTCTTTCGTGATTGAAGTTGTTGGTGATCATCTTCATCCCTGCCCCTTCCTTTACCACGTGACACCAACGTTTCAAGAGTCAGTGGGAGTACTTCGAGGCTGGGACATTTCGACGCAAATGGGTGAATGGAAGCCATCTAGAGGCAACGTACCTTTCCAATGAGATTCTCAACCGGGACCTTGACGTCATCAAGCTCGATGTAAGTAGTACCACTTGTCGTGTTTCCGCTGGTCTTGATCCGGCGAAGGGAGACGCCCTCCTGGTTTAGAAGCGGCACAACGAGAAGAGAAAGTCCGCTGGCTCCGGGGCCTCCAGTTCGAACGGCCATTGTGCAGTAATGCGACCAAATCCCATTGGTGATCCTGATTGTTGACAGATTCTCCTGGTCAGTAACGAAGCTTCGTTGGGTGTTGAACGTCAGTCGCGAACTCACCACTTCTTGCTACCATTCACGATGTAAAACTTGCCATCGGCCGTCTTCTTGGCCGTAGTCGAAATATTCGCGACGTCGCTCCCGGCATCTGGCTCGGTTATACCGATGCATATCCGCTTGTCCCCCCGCAGCAACTCGGGAAGGAACCTTTCTTGGAGCTGCGGGCTGCCGTAGGTGATAATCGGAGGCACACCGTACGCCATGCCGGTCGACAAGGAGGAGGGCGGGCCCCCGAGTCCCGCTCGTCTCATTTCACTGATGTAGATGGAGAAGTGGACGTGGTCGAAATCTTCGACCTTCAAGCCCCCCAACAATTCCGTGATGCCTATGCTTTTCAGCAATTTGACCGGCAGGGGTGCCGGCAGATTAGGGATCAGCATGTTGTGCTTCGAGAACGTTTTGAAGACATGGTCTGGGACGTCGCCCTCGGTTTCCCATTCCCGGGCGTGGGAAGACAAGTGTTCGTCGATAAATGCTCGACATGATTTCTGCCAGGCCCGGTGTGATTCGTTGTAGTATGGCGATGGCTGGCCGAGGAGCCAAGGAGGTTCTGCGAATGGTATGGGAATCGCTCGTTCGGTGGCCATGCCTTTTCGCCCAGGTCTTTCCCGTTGTTACCAAATGTGACTCGGCGACGTCGTTTGACAATTGACCGAGATGATGGAGCAAGAGACCGATCCAATGCCTATCTTTTGAACCAGAGCATAGGATATATATACTGACCCCGCAATGCGCCCAGCCGGGCCGTAAGCTTGACAAGAAGTGCTTGGTGCATAGCCGGCCGAGGTCCAGACATTCTCTGTGTTGACTGCGACAGCTACTGCATTAGCTGCCCCTGCTGCCCTATCGAGAAACCCCTTATAGCTAGCCTCATGCCTGCGTGGGAGCTCCTCGGGAAACCCAATTGAGTAAGGCACCCTCCGTAACTAATCACTCTCTACTTACCTAGGTATGCAAGTTCGACGTCATCTCTAACGTAGATACTTGGGCTTGATAGAGGTACCAGTAATCCTCCAAAGTATCAAGCTAGGAACAGTCCCCACCTAGTTGAGCACTAAAGCAGTCGAGGGTTGAAGGTTGAATGAAAAATGGCAAGCAAAACTAAAAGGTTTCATGGGACACTCTTTGACATACGGCCAGGGGAGGGCTTCAGAGCCCTAGTTCCTATGTACATGCAACTGGATCTGAAAAAAAAGGGGGGTTCATTATTCAGTAGTTGCAGCGGTAATCTCTGCAAATCCCTCGCATTCAACCGTTGGAACCTGATGGGTCCAGGAACAAAATGTCAGAGTTTGGCTACAGGGGCAGCCGGATATGAGTTACCGTTGATCGAGGTTGACTGCTTGCGACTCATCAGCCGTCGAATGACACCGATGATGTGCTTCTGCTCATCGCCGAGGGTTTCGGGGCTATCGGCGCGTTTGTCTGCGAAGTTGGTGATCTTGTCCCAATGATATCGAATGTTTTCCGGCGTGAATTGGTCGATGTCGAAGGTGTGTCCCTCAGAACGCTGCCACCGCGTCCTGCCCTGCCAGCCACAGCCCACTTCATAGAGGCCTCCGGTTGGTCGGTCAGGCACCTTGTCGGAACATAATGCCAGGACCAAGGGTGCCACGAACTCGGGTTTGCGTGCGTGGACGAGTTCTTCACTCAGGACGGTGCGAGTGAGCTGTGTTCCAGCCGAGGGACCGATGGTGTTGACGTAGATGTTGTATTTAGCTCCCTCCTCTGCGACAGCACGCGAAAATCCCAGGATAGCCATTTTCTAGATCATCGTCAATAGTTCGAAGCATTGTGATAGGTACGATGCAGGTGACTCACCGCTGTCGCATAGTTGGCCTGGCCGTAGTTTCCGTATACCCCACTGGTGCTGGATGTGTTGACAATTCGCCCGTATTTCTGTTTCATCATATAAGGATAGGCCGCTTTCGTGCAGGCGTAGCTGCCACGCAGATGGACGTTGAAAATATCATCCCATTGTTTCTCTGTCATATTGATGAAAGCCTTGTCTCGCAGTATGCCAGCATTGTTGACCAAAATATCGACTCTACCAAAGTTGTCGATGGCTGTAACACATCTTCCAATTAGCACAGCTTCTAAAAAGAAAGTGTGTAGAGGAGCTAGCAAGCTACTACTGTTCCGCTGAGAACCCTTCCAAGGGACGAAACCGAAACTGTGGACAGGACGCAGTGAGGTTTACCTGTTTTGATGACCGAAGCCCCATCCTCAACCGAAGAACTATTTCCGACCGCCCTCCCTCCAGAGGCACGGATTTCTTCCACCACAGAGTTTGGGTTCACAAGGTCGTTGACCACAACAGCAGCACCTCGTTTTGCGAATTCGATACAGTAGGCACGTCCGAGACTGTAGACATTAGAAACACCTCAGCCTGGGACACATGTTGGAAGGGGGCTTTACCCAGCACCGCCACCAGTGATGACTGCAACTTTGCCATCATATCTAACATCCTCCCCTGGATCGTTTCTATCTTGTTTTTGTGCGGCTTCAAGGTTGGCCACCATGTCAGCTGTTTTGGTGGGATGATCAGGCTTCGAAAAGTCATTGATGTCTGCCCAACGCTTCAATATCGCGCCCGGCGTGAAGGTCTCGTCACCTGGAAATGTGAATATCAGTTGCTTTGAATCTCCGAAGCTCGTGCTTGTGGCAATTGCGCGATCTTGAATCTAAATAGGTTCTCTCAAACCTTAACTCACATTTCAGTACAGCACCTGGCGATCGCTCCCATCGAAACTTGGAAACATGGCCAGCGAAGACTTCAAACACCGAGCCGGATTCCCTGTTGATGGGATGAACGAGTAGCCCAACCAGAGGAGAAACATGTTCGGGTCTCAGGTATTGTAGCAGCTCGGCGGACGTGGTTGTAGCCGTCATGTCCGCCGCAGTGACAGGTGCGATGGCGTTCACAAGGATGTTGTACTTGAGGCCCTCCTTGGCCAACGTCTGTGTCAATCCAACAGCGCCCAACGTGGCCGCCGAGTAGTTGCATTGCCTAGAGTTGCCAAAAAGCCCTGCTGTAGAGGATGCCATTATGATCCTTCCGTATTTCTGTTTGCGGAATATTTTCCAGGCGGCCTGGGTGCATTTGAAGACGCCTGGAGACTAATGTTAGTCCGGGATCCCGTCTGGCACATTGTATTTGCGGGAACTGAAGGGGAACCTTTCCTTTGGAAAGAACGGCGTCAATGTCATCCCAGTCCTTGTCTGTCATGTTTTCAAAGCTCGCGTCTCGAAAGATACTTGCACTGTTGACCAAGATGTCCAGCCTTCCAAGTTTTTGAATGGCATCCTGAACGATGGCATCGCCGTTGAGCACGCTGTTGTAGTTTGCGGCGGATCTTCCTCCAGCACTGACTATCTGTTCGACCACCTCATCGGCGTCCTACCATAGCGTTAATTCATGGGCTCTTGAAGGGTGGAGACACGATAGCGTACTTTTCTGGAGACATCGTTCACGAGAACGCTGGCCCCTCTCGATGCAAGAGAGAGAGCATGTGCCTTGCCCAAGCCGCTGCCAGCACCGGTGATGATGGCGACGTGATTGTCAAGCCGTAAATCTACCATGTTGATATCGAGTGATGGCGGGAGAAGTAGCGTTCACAGTACACAGCCAGGAACAGCAGATTGCGACGTCACGAGGTGCGTTTCATTTATTCCACAAATGAAGGGCAGAATTGGCGGTGTCTTTGTCAGAGGCTCCAAGCATCTTGACGTTACCATATGTGGTTTCTCGCCTCTTTTGGCATGACGACTGTGAGTGCCGAACCCGAGGGACGAGGCACCCCTTTGTATTGCGGATAGGTCAAACTGAAATCACGTTCTACATCACCAGCCCTCGGCCTTCCAGTGCGTCTGCAGAATGCACAGCCGGTTTCGAGTAGTGTATGATTCCGATAGAACAGAAAATTCAACGGATCAAAGATGGATTCGAAATTAATTCTTCGTGACATCACTCTGGGGGACTTCTACTTCTATTCTGCAGACCATCATATTATGCTCTCATGACAAAGAATGGGTTGGGTTTGCAACTGTTTCCGTGGCATTGATAACTGAGCTGGCATCAAAGCCGAGCACGGTCCGAGATATCCTTGACAATCTGACCCTTCTCCCCTCGCTTCTCTTTGTCCCGCAAAACCCTCCTCAAGATCTTGCTACTGGGGCTCTTTGGTATCTCTGCGATGAACTCTACCTCCTTGATCCATTTATAGCGCACTCGCCTCTCTTTCACATATTGTATCAGCTCCCTGCCCACCTCGTCACTCGGCTTCACAGTGGGCTTCAACACAATATATGCCTTTGGTCGTTCGGCACTATAGTCGTCAGGTATCCCCAACACGGCGCAATCGTCCACGGCAGGATGTCCCAGTAGGAGACTCTCCAGCTCCGCTGGGGCTACCTGTTGACCTTTGACCTTGATCATCTCCTTGATTCGATCAACAATATGGATAAAGCCTTCATCATCGATACTACCAATGTCACCGGTACGTAGGAAGCCGTCCGCTCCAAATGTCTCGGCTGTTTCCTTCGCGTTTGCGAGATACCCCATTGCAATCTGGGGACCACTGGCAAGAATCTCGCCTATCTCGTTTGGCCCTCGCTCTTCACCTGTAACCACGTCGAGGATCTTCACTGTCGTCGAGCCAAGCAGCACACCCCCGCTGTTGGCATATTTATAGCTGTAGAATTCAGGTGGGTGGGTCGTCAGACAGCAGCACGACTCTGTCATACCGTAACTTTGCCTGAATCCGGTCCACGGCATCTTCTGCTCAAGTTGGCGGATGACCTCCTGCCCAAGAGGAGCTGCGCCAGATGCGATTGTCCTGACACAAGTGAGATCGTAACCATCAACAATAGGGTCGCGTACGAGTCGAATGACAATGGACGGGACCAGGGTGAGATCTGTGATCTGGTATTTGATAATGGCATCTAGGAACGCTTCCATAGTGAATTGTGGGAGCATGATGCATTCGTCATTGCCAGCGATAGGCCAGTGAAGGAAACGCATGAGCCCACTGACTGGTCGATCATTTTAGCACTTGTCACAAATTTCCCTGCTGTAGGCATCGCTTACTGTGAAACAAGGGGAGGCATGCCAGAAACCGTTTCTTCTCCGGTCCTGCAACGTCCTTCAGCTGTTGGCATTGAGCAATCATATTCTTATGTGACAGCATCACCTGTCATTTATACAGTCAGTCGCTCATCCGAGGCCTTGGAGTAGACATTGGTGATGACCGGCCCTCACTCACAGCTTTTGGTAGCCCAGTTGTTCCACTGCTGAAGGTCAGGAACCCGCACACATCGTTGGTGCTGCCCGCTGGGATGCGATATGTAGGCGTCTGGTCATTGCCGTAGCTCTTGCCAATTTCCAACAGTTGCTTTATCGTCGTGTAGCCCTCGAGCTCTCCCTCTAACAAGAAAATGCGGTCGTTGGGAATTCCCGCTTTCTTTGCCGCTACAAGGGCCACGTTGATGGAGCTGGGCACAGTCATGATATACTTTGTTTGTGCCGTCTTGAGGGCATGGGCCATCTCGTCCGGGCCATATGCAGGAGAGGCGCCGTTGACTCTTCCACCTGATACCTTTCGTCAATCTTCCTTCAGTCAAGCTACATCAAACGTTGAGGGATTGCAAAGCGTCAAAGATGAGATAGTGGGTATCGCTCCAAAACATACCTGCTCTCAAGATGGAGAACAAAGCGACAGGGTACCATATCGTATTCGGGCTAAACAAGGATACTGTCTCTTCCACCTGCAAGCCATATCGCTTGACCAAGGCTGTGGATAGATGTGTAGCATGCTCCTTGACTTGTAAGTAGTCTAGCCGCTCCTGGGTGACTGCATTGGTGAAGCCTCCGATCTCGTTGGGCGGAAAGCTAAACAATGGCGAGTACCTCGCGTCCTCGAAAGCCCATTCCCATATCGTCACATCATTCGGACCTGCTCTCGCCCAGGATAGAATTAGCAATGCGAAGTATAGGAGAGGCTTGGTTGTATAGGCGTACACTCAATGTCGGGATATCTGGACCTGAACAACATCCTGAATATGTATCAGATGGTTGCATGAAGTGATGGCACAATCGCTCAACCCACCCCCCATAAGGCTTTTGAGGGAGCTTTGGAGGAGCAACAATAGGTCGATAATATGGTGTTGGAGCGAGGCCCATGAGAATGAGGGGGTTCTGCTTAATACCTCAAGCGAGAGCAAATTGAAATCTCCGAGGCAACACAGCCTTGGGCCGAACGTGCAAGGGCTGCTGTTATGGACTTATGGGCCTGTTTTGTGACTTTACAAAGCCTTGGTAGCTTTAATATGTCGGATCATTCAGTTCATATCTCTGTGCCCATATTTTCAAGGATTTGTGAGAGCTACACAACCTGAAGAGTGAGAGTGCTCCTATCTGACCTTGGTGCCGCTCGGTGCAGTCTCTATCGCACCATATGAAAGAGTGAGCGCTTTACCAAGCATGCGAACCATCTCTTTTCGGCCGCGTGACATCTGCTGCAACGCGTGCCTGGATCCAACAGAGATTGACGCTCGTCCTTCTAGCGATCCCGAGAAAGAATCATGGAGAGGGACCCTCGGGCCTCGGAGCGCACCTCATTTCGACTCAGCATCATTATGGGATCTAGCGAATCCGGGGACGCTCATGAATCACAGCGGCACCATCTCATTAAGTGAGCCTCCGGCCCGGCCGGAATTGACATACCTCATCTAGTGGTCAGACATTTCCGATTTGGTAGAGTCGGCTGCTCCGTCCACTTCGATGTCCGTAGGACTTTTGTCAATGGAACCTTTGGTGTGTGCGTGTTTCGCGTTTCGCGTTTGTGCTGCATCATTCCTGACGGGACTTTGCCTGCATAACTGTATGGATGTAGCGATCTCTAGCACCTCCTATAGAACCGTCGTCATGAAGCATCAGCCGGACCAGCGTTGCTAAGAATCAGTTCTTCGATGGGGAATTAAACTCCCCCTTACCCCATCCCCCACCCCCGCACGCGCCTTTGACGGAATCCATTAGGAATCAATTCTAGATCGAAACCCTCCAACCTAATTGGTTTGACAGCACTGACAGTCCAAATGTAGTATAGAGTACGTCCACTATACTAGTTTGGGCTAGATGCTGAGTACTCCTCCAATAAGCTCTGACAAATTATAGGCTAAGCCTCTGGTGGTGGTAGCTTAACCTGATTAGGATACATCGGAATGGATCAAGGGATTGAATGCTAACAACGCTGGATCCCGTGTCAGGCAATGCTCCCTAGAAAACCACAGACATGACACAGATTATAATGGCTGTGGTCCTAGATGCCTAGTGTCTTTGCATCATCTGAGATACCATGGAATCTCAAGGGCGAGATAGGGGGTCCGGCGCTGACAATATTCCACTTGACACGAGATGACTTAACATATCAACTTTACAATGTTCGTCGTGTCTTTTTCTCCTTACTTTCCTCACTCTTGTTTGACATCTGCTACAGATATATCTGCGTCAGGCCGCTCGGTGTGGTCATGGATCGTGTGCGTTGTGGGGTCGATCTCAAGCTGGTACTGGTATACCGCAATCTCGTCGCCGTCACCGAAGATGGCGCCGATCTCTTCCAAGGGCGTATCCCGAGTGTCTGGCCAGAACATAAGAACACAGAACCCGGAGAGAAAACCCGGAATGATGAAGCAGAGCAGGAATTTCCACTGTATATTCCTGTACATTTGTATTCGTTAGAGATCCCTCAAGCCTTACCGGGGGAGGGACAAACTTACTTCAAAGCTTCGGGGGCTGATTGAAGCCATATTATATTCATGAACGCTATCATAGAAGTGCCGAGACAGACTCCTTTGGCGCGAAGGTGGTTGGGGAAGACCTCCCCCAAGTACACGAACTGTGTTCCTAGAAAGCTATCAGTGTCGTTACCGCAGTTGAGAAGGATATTCATACCATCAAGGCCGATGTTGACGAATGGCTGATAGAGGAAAAACATAGCTACCGTGGCTTTCAATGCAGCAGTGTTGGTGGAAGGGACGAAATTGGCGAGGAGCGCCGCGATAATGCTCAGCATAGTCGAGGTTCCAAGAATGCCGATGCCCAGCATCCAATTCCGAGGAATCTTGTCAATCAAAATCGGACCGAAGAAGAAGCACACGAAGCCGACGGTAAGCCAGAGAGATGGGAAGAGGAGCTGTTTCATGGGACTGTAGCCCAACAGCCTATAGATCACCGGTCCGTAGTCTGTGCCAATATTAGAAACCGGCCATCATATTGTAGTAGAGGGAACGCACTATTGATAACCAGCACTCCCGAGAACTGAACCATCCCCGTAGTTGCGAGTCCAAGCAAGGCACGCTTACGGTATGATGGCCTTTTGAACATCTGGTACCAGCTCGATGGCAGGGAGCGATCAATCGCCACTTGTTTCTGAATTTGATACAACTCGAGGTTCGCCCGATCGTGACCGACTCCCGAATGAGAATGTATCTTGATGAGAACTTGTCTCGCTTGCTCGTCGCGGCCTCGCATGACAAGCCACCTATTGAAGTCAATGAGAATGAAGCGTAAATGCAGATAAGGTGCTTACCTGGGGCTTTCCGGACAGACAAAAAGCCCGGAAAGGAGTAACGACGGCCATAAGCATTGTAAAGCTACCGGCAGGCGCCAGTTGTGGCCGTTATTAGGCCAAAAGAAGCACCCAAATCCAATCCATGTTGCTGTCAAGTACCCGAAGACGTAAAAAACCCCATGGAACTCAACCAGCCCACCACGAAGATTAGCCGGTACGAGTTCACTCATCATCAGCTACGAGAGAGGTTCTCAGCAAGATTTACCCAGCAGTAGTGAGCACAGAGTTCAAAGGACCTACCGGAGGAGCTGCAACGAACATATAGGCGCCGGCGCCCGAAAAGAAGCGGAAGACAATGAACTCTGCCACATTAGTGCTGCCAGCCATGACTGCACCGGACACGATAATCAGTAAAGCAGGCTGTTGCGATGTGAGCCGATAAACAAGACATCCGAACTGCAGTGCCGCTCACCACTGCGAGCGACCATTTCCTGCCGTATTTGTCGGCGACCCATGGCAAGCACAACACTCCTAGAAACCCCCCGGTCTGAAAGACACCGTTCATAGTCGAGATCAGAGTGGTACCATTGGAAGATGTTTCGAGGTTGAAGTACTCCAGAAAAGATGGCTGCCCTGGTCCTGGATTAGTGGACTTCCCCCCGGATGGCGAAAGTGTAGGAGAGGGACTTACCTAGCAACGTTCCGATGACGGAGGCTGCATAGCCAAAGCTCATTGAACCAAGTCCGAGATAGGAGATCAAGATCAAAGTATAGACATTTAACTTGTCCCTGGTCGCAGGTGGAGAATGCATTTCGGCGGTCATGATGATAGACGTTGGATTCAGACTTTGCTCAGAGAAAGACGAGCTCTGGAAGGTTCAATTTCCAGTTCATGGTCTGGGAGAAGTATATTAGTACAACGAGTCTGATGTACCCATTCACTTTGGGCCACGGTCCGAGGAGTATCCGTTGATAGTCAAGACAGCACCAAGTAAGAAATAGAGCAATACAGTAGAGACGGCGACTCTGGCCCTCGGTCCTGCCCTCGGGTGCTCCCCATACACTCGGAACCACCGTACACCTACCAACCCCGCGCCCTAGAAGACACCTGATATTTCCTGGGGTATTGTGTCTCGCCTGTGCATGTTTCTCGGACTCCTTGTAGCCGAGAGAAACCCCTCGAGAGGATCGCCATTAAAGGGCGCCGTAAATGGTTAAAGCCTAAAACCTTGAAGACTGAGGCGTGGGAAAATCGAAGTATCAGGTCCTATTCAACTCTTACGTCTATCCAACCGGACTTTACCACACTGTTCTGTTCTTATAGTCATATTTGAGCAGCCATATGCGGAGGAAGATAATGTTATCATTCTCATATGTGTGACTGTTCAGATCCTACGGTGGTCTCCGCTAGTGGCTTTCTTACACCACTCTCTCAGAGGTAGGAAGTGTTATTACAGTCGCACGCGCCCGGCTTTCAGACTCCTCCAATTTTCCTGCGTAAACGGTACATACTGAGTCGCACCCGGCGGCAGCCAATATATGACGTCTGCTGACTGGCGGTCGAGGTGGCTGACTTTGTCGGGATCCATGCCTTCGGCACGAAGTCTGCCTTTTTGGACTTTCATAGTGCCCGTGTAGTCTAGTTGCGAGACAAAGCGAAGAAAAAGAGGCACTGCATAGCGAGGAAGCGCTGAGATGGCATGCTTGGTCAGGCCTGCGAAATCGAAAGTGGACACAGACACCCCGGCCGCAGGGAGGATAGCGGCACACCCAGCTCTGCCATCAGCGTTTGGAACTTGGATGCCGTAGACACTTATCTCGGCAACCTGGTCGAAGGCGCCGAGGACATCGCCGACTTCGTTGGTACTGACATTCTCGCTCTTCCAGCGGAAAGTGTCGCCCAGACGGTCGACGAAGTAAAGACGACCCTCGGAATCTTGACGCATGAGGTCTCCGGACCTGAGCCATAGATCGCCTCTCTTAAAGACATCTTTGATCTTCTTCTTTTCTGTCGCCTGAGAATTTTTATAATATCCGGGAAATGCTGCCTCCGGATTGGCAGGGTCCAGTCGATGGATTGCCTCGCCGGCTTCACCAGTCTTACACTCAATGGCGAATCCATTCTTGTCCAGCAGGAGTTCTTCGGTAGTAACATCGATCTTCACACGCTTTTCGGCATCGTTGTTCATCCAACGCCAGCACAAACCCCGAATTCCAACGGCGTTTCGACCAAATTCGCCTCTATTAGCATTAAAACTTAGGCCTAAGCTGTCGGTTGAGGCGTACAATTCGTTTATTGTTTCAATACCGAAGCGTTGACGAAAAGGCTCCCAGACATCCGGTCGCATGCCGTTGCCCCATGCCCTGGTCACACAGTGTTGTTTGTCTAGAGGGTTTGCCGGAGCGTTGATAAGGTATCGACATACTTCTCCAACGTACTGGATGGTGTCGGCTCTGGATTTTCGCACCTCTGGCCAGAATGTTTTATGGCTGAACTTTCGACTCAACACTACTGTCGAACCAGCGAAGATTGAAGGGGTGACACACAGTCCATGGGCTGCTCCGTGGTAAAGTGGCAGAGCCGTGTACATTCTGTTCCTTGGTTCCAGTTTCAAGTACTGCGCGATAGTCCTGGCAACGTTGATCTCGCGGCCGCGCTGTTTGATAGTTCCCTTCGGCATACCCGTCGTTCCGGATGTGTAGATCAATGAAGAAAGGTCTTCGGGTTTCAGGCCTTGCCATCTCTCACTGGGGATCGCAGTAGACTCTTGAAGAGAGGAGATGAATTCGGTATCGTAGTAGATAGTTTGCGTGCCGTGAGAACCCAACTCTTCTTCACACGGCTGCACTAGTTTCAGCTGGGTACGCGCAGCCAAAAGAAATCTTGCATCGCACAGCTTGACACAGTGGACAAGGGCTGCGGCAGTCAGATTGTAGTTGATGAACGACGGACAGGCTCCAATCGCCTCTAGGCCAAACCATATCAAAAGATATTCCGGGCTATTCTCGCCATCAAGCGCCACAATCTCATGCCGTTTGATGCCAAGATCCTTCATCAGCCAGTTGGCCACACGCTGGATGTCGTGAAAGAACTGCTTGTACGAAAAAGCTCTGTCTTCGAAGATGAGAAAGAGATTGTCCGCGTTGGGTCCAAGGGCATGGTCTTCAATGAGGTGATAGACTAGCGGCTTCCCCTGTCGAAACCTCTTGGAGATGAATTGAAGTGATCTTTGTCTAGCCCTAGCTGGAGAATCGGATGACAAGTCATGCCTGATCAAGTAGCGAGCATCGAGATAGGCTGCTGCGGCGAGACTGCCAGCAACGACTGCCGCCATACTGGAGACTTTGTCTGGTTAGATGACTCTCCGCGCAGAAAGGATACTCACTCACGCGACATGGCCAGAGAAACGGCAGATAGTTTAGCAGCTTGTGAGGCTCACTGTCGATGTTCCTTTGAAGTAGGAGGTTTTGGTCATATTGGCTCCTCAAATAGTACATCATCACAAGACTCCTCAGATTCACAGGTGCAAATGCGACAGAGCGGAATGACATTGTGTTAAGCCTTGCCATGCCACACCTCGGGCCGGGGCTTGGGAAAATGTGCTTCAGACGCTTAGGAAGCTTATGTCAATACGTAAGACACCAGCAACGAACTTGGGGACGCACTGACAACATAACAGGCTCTGTATACCCCAGCTACAACGCCCGGTCGTCTTCACTTCCAACACAATGTATCAGTTTGACAGCATCAGAGGTACAATGAAGCGTATTCAACAGCGGGCCGAGGAAAGCGTTCGCATCTCCAATGTCTGGTTATTCCAAGCATGCATAATTCTGTGCAGCGCAATAATGCTCGGTACGAGTACTAGGTAAACGGTTTACCGAATAGAGCAGCCACTTTTTGCGTGGGATTGTGGGGCCCGGAACCCTGGAGTCCCCCCACGCTCCCCGGACCCTCCAAGGTTCCCCGCTTGCCCGCTTCCTCCTGGACGGGGTCTGTATGCTGCGCTCATCTCGCTCAACCATTTGCCATGATCTCCTGCGGCATCTTTACTTCAGCTTCTGTATAGGCGGCTAGACCGGGGCTTGCTGCTCTCCTTCTACTGAGGAGACATCCTCACCTCGCGTGGGTCACTTAACTCTTGCTCCTCCTTTCCATCATGTCGTCGCCGAGCGCGGAACGTGAACATCAGCCCCATGAAATTAACAAGAGAAAAGCAAACGAGGTACCGCCCGACGCCGGCGGAAAGCGACGTGCCGCCAGAGCCTGCCTCTCATGCCGCAGTCGGAAAGTCCGCTGCGATGTGCTGAGGGATGGGCCGCCTTGCACAAATTGCCGCCTGGACAACGTGATGTGTCTTCTCAGAGAGTCGACTCGCACCCGGGTTCGTCCATCAAGCGAAACGGTTGAAACAACTACCAGAGTGAATGGCACTGATGCTGACGCTGATGCTGACGTTGATGCGGATGCCAACGCTGATTTTCCGGTGGCTCTTACCTTTGAAGGTACGCTTCACCTCCTTTATCTCATCTTTCTCAAGTTCCACGACTGCTAAATTCCCCTTCTTCGTCTCTGAAGATGAAAAGGACTAGACAGCCTTTACTTACTTGAATTGCAGGCTCACGAGGGGCGCAAACAGCGATACAGGCCTCATCCCCGGCCGGGAACAGAGCCAACTCACGTAGAAGCTCGACAACCAGTCCGGTGGCGACTTCCACCGGTCCTACACCCCTTTCAGCAGATCACCAAGCTCAGGGACTGCCGTCGTATATTCGCCCGCTCTCTAGATTACTGAGTCCGGAAGACCTTGAATATCTAACTAAGAAAGGGGCCTTGACACTACCGGACCGCCTGCTTCAACGTGAGCTTCTTCGAAAGTACATTCAATATGTCTATCCCTTTATGCCAGCCTTGGAACTGTCGGCCTTCATTTCACCGATTGTTCGCGGTGATGGGAATGGCTCGGTTAGCTTGCTCCTGTTCCAGGCAGTCATGTTCGTCAGCGTCACGTTCGTTGACCTCGAGTTTCTTCAGGCCAGAGGATACCAGAGCCGCAGATCGGCGCGGAAGATCTTCTTCGAGAGGGTGCGGCTGCTCTACGATTTTGATTGCGAGACCGATAGGACCACCATCCTCCAGGCTGTGTTGCTGATGACATACTGGTATGAGACGCCAGAGGACGAGAAGGACACGTGGTATTGGACCGGCATCGCGCTGTCCCAGGCCCAAGTCCTGAGCATGCACCGAAACCCTGACTACCTGGACGTCGGACCGGCAGTGAAACGCTTGCGGAAAAGAATCTGGTGGTCCTGCTTGATACGAGATCGCCTTATGGCTCTGGGCATGCGTCGGCCGACACGAATTCGGACGGGCGACTTTAACGTCCCCATCCTGACATTGGACGATTTTGAGACCGACCCGTTCAAGGACGATGTATTACGATACCTTGGACGGCTGCCCATGACGGAAGATACTGTGGCCAGGAAAAGCATTTCAATGGCTTGTATTGAGCTTACAAAGCTCTGTATTCATATTGGAAATATTCTCTTCACTCAGTATTCGATCCTAGGCAACCCAACCAGTGGTGCGTCGGAGGAGAACATGACGATGATGGTGATGCCTCGCAAGTCCACCGAGCAAATAAACGACATGATCAAGTGCGATTTCAACCTCCAGGACTGGCTGCAAAACCTCGATCCCACCTGTCGCTACAAGAAAGGCTGTCCCTCGGTCGAAGAAGGGAAAGGAACCCTATACGACGAAAGTCGGAGAGTTTTAAACTTCCATCTGGCCATGATACACATGGCTTACCTCACGGCGACG